GGCCTTGGGAGTGGTGCTGCTCCTGGCCATATCATGTTCGTCGCGGTATTTCTGGTCTTCTTCGTGGACACGTCCCAGACGTCAGTATTTATGATCCGGCGTGTTATTTGCCAATCTACAAACTACTAGATTTGGCGAAGGCCAAATTCCCTGATTATGCTGATTCTATGAATGTTTTTGAGTTGATTTCGATGGCTATTTATGACAACAAAGATCGTTTCGAATTTCAATGCGTGTACGACTCTCGTGTGAACGAGCAGCTCGAACTTTTCGCCGCCCCCGTCAAGATCCGATGTGGACAAGGCCACACCGACGACGTTCTCGAGACGCGATCAAATGAAGTGCTAGCAGTACTAATCTACTGCCGTCCTGACCATGTACACAGGTACAATGCTCGTTTGACAGCGCACGGGAACCGCGATATACCACCTCGGCTTTACCACCGAACGCATGAAGGTGCTGCGCGATCCATTATTGCGAGCGGGCTCATTCCCGGCGGTGGAGCCGGTGGACCGAAAAGCAAAGGCAATTCCTTCTTTTCAACACAACCTCTGGGAAACCAGAAGGCGATATCTGGTGTTCGTGCTGACCGACCAGTGGAGATTTGTTTTTCAACACCGGATGTGATTGAAGCAGGAGTTGATCTTTTCCTCACAAATTCTGGCGCGGTGATTACCAGCCATCACGTTCCGAATACGTGTATTCTATTTGCAACTCGAGCCCGCGCAAATGCGGAGCCGGAAGTTTTCTATTCAAGGCCGCAGGCATTGGATCCTTCGAACATTGAGGTCGGTGTTCCGCAAGATGATGTGACATTGGTCCCGGGAAAAGTGTCGGAAGTACGCACCATTTTGGAAGGTACAAGCGACGCCACTCCCGAAGAACGCACAGCTAGCAGCAGTGCCGCAAAGAAGGAAGAGATGGAGGCAAATCGCAATACAGCTGTACCACAGATCGAGAGTGGATATTTTCTACATCTTCGAACTTTCAGCTGCGATAAATGTACGACACTTTCCTTAGCAGGAATGGCATCTTGTCATCGATGCGGAGTAGTATTTCAGAGCAATACAGCAGATGGACCGATTTCAAAGTTTATGCGACTTCAGATGAGGCGTGCAAAGGTGCTACAAGAGCAGGGGGGCGTGCCCAAGAACATGACCGCAACAAGCATGCTTGACAGCATTGCCGCGCAGGACCTACAGTCTGGACGACCTCCAGCTCGTGGCAGCCCGTCAGTTGACAGTCAGATTATTCTTGCAGCTCGCAGTCGCCTTCGCAAAGCATTGAAATCAGGGTATGAGAATGTATTCGATCGATTCAACCGCGACGACGTCTTCGCCACCTCCTTAACCGGAGAAGGATGCACAGCGTTTGATGCAGCGCAAGAAGACTTGTTTGCGTCACTGCAATTACCGGCACCCACGAGATCAGCGAAGCAGAGATCAAAAGGGAAGTCGGTTGTCAGTGATTTGGATTGACTGGACAGGGTTGACCTCGCCAAGCTCGCGTATATTCGATGCGGTGTTGACAACCTACATACCTGTTTCAAGCAAGGCGTCGACGAGAACTTTCTGATCAGTTATCGCCGAGAGTTTATGTCACTCCGACAATACGCCGCCGTAATTGGCGATAGCCGAGATGAGATCAAGATCCAGGGCTTTATCCCCACGACGGACGTCTATGGCGATATTCATTCAATTCGTATTCCTCGTGGAGACACGACAGGCATTTACAAGATTTTGAGTGAGTTTGCAGAGCAGAATGAAAGTTATGCAAACATTCAATATCAGAGAAACGCGCAACAGTCTGCAAATATGCAGGGACGCGATCGTGGACAGCCAGTTTCACAGATGGGCTTCATGAACATCGAACAGCGCATGGCCACGCCTTATCCCAAGTTTGCCGATTGTGGCCAGGACATGTCATCTGACGAAGTCAGAAGGTTGGAAGAACTTTTGTTGGAGTTTGGACAGCGTGGATCCCCATCTCCTCAAGGACCTGTAACAAGGCCCCCGTTGACGCGGAAGCGATCGCAGATGTATATGGAGACTATTGGAGATGCAGACAAACGACCGAGGCTGCAGTGGAGGAGGAAAGAAGACCGAGATCAATCTGGTCGTATTGCAACTTGGGTTGACAACCGGACTCCACCGCCAGGCGTGCCTCAGCCGCCAGCTCCCGTAACAGGGACGCATACCTCGTCGGTATTCAGTATGAATGCACCTCCTGCTCAAGGACAAGTATCAGGCAAAGGAGACTCCCATAAACGGGATGCCAGTGTGCGAGGAGATGTTGCCGGTAAGGGCAAAGGGCAAGGCAGTTCTTCTGCGTCAGGTTCCACTGCTCCCGCAAAAGGGACGCCACGTGGTTCAGTTGCCCGTGCAATATCTCGCAGCCGTGAAGACCTTCCACCTAAGCGTGGCAACATTCCCAAGGACCTTTTGGGCCCTCCACTTCGCACTCCACCATCCACTCCTGCAAAACCGTCAATCCCAAAGCCTCCTTCCAATCCACCGTCAGTACCGGTGAAAGAGGCCCCAGCATCACCACCTCCACCACCTGCACCAAATGATGCACCAACGGCCGGCTTATCCCCGGCTTCAAAACCACGTCCAGCAAAACCTTCACCTCCGAAGGTCCCACCAACAAAGGTGCCTCCTCCAAAGGTTCCTCCACCGAAAGTGCCACCCAATACAGCCAGTGGCATTCCGGTACATACAAGGCCGACAGATTTCAATCTCACGCCGAAGCCGCCGCCGCTTACAGACCTTTACAGTCGGTTGCAACCTTCCGTAAAAGGAAAGGGCAAGGATAAGCAGCAGGTGAGTGTTCGAGGAGGACCTTATGCTCCACAGCAATGGAATGTACAAAACGTGCCACCGCCGCCATTGCCACCCGGAACTTCATCCGCTTCGGCATCATCGTCACATAATGCACCCTTAACTGGGCCGCCGACTTCCAGCATTCGTGGAACTATTGATCGACCATTGGAACCCTTTGATTTTCCTGGAGTACAATGGCAACGCGATGACCCATGGGGCGAGAACTATTGGCCCAATCACATGGAATTGTGGGAGTGGTTGAGGCAGGGATGGCATGACGAGACGGAGCGTTTTGGAATACAATTTCTTTAAGCAGATGTTGAATAGCTACCATAAATGGTATGCCTTGCAGCTTATGAGTGTTGAGATAAAGATCACCTTCTGACGCGCTGTGAGATGATGTTTCACTTCATTGTCTCACTTCCCAATGCATCCATAACAGGATTGCCATAGTCGGAGAGTGAACTTTTAATCAATGCTTAACACTAACCTGGGCCTAGCATGTTTAACCACATGCCGAGTGAGGCGAAAACTGTACATTAGGGTAGCTACGTTCTCCTTGTATAGTGCATGCACGAGCTTGATGAGGGATTTCTAATATGATTCCTTCGTCGCTAGAATTTGATCCTCCCCGAGATTTTCCCTACGGGTAGCTCCTTGTAAAGGGGGATGTTGAAATTCACCTCATCCCCATGGACCCCGTAGCGTTGACTCTCAAGGTAGAGCAAAAGGTAGCGCTTACCGGACTAGCAGGGTTAGCTAGGTAGTTAGTACTATTAGAGCTGATCCTGTAAAATACAAAAATAGTTCTGTGTGCTACTGCCTGGAACCCCAAACAACCAGATACAAATGGTTGTTATAATATGGCAATTGAAATCCTATGGGAAATGGCTGGGACTGGGGAAACATCAATTCAATTTCTTTCTGATTGTTTGGGGTTCCAGGTGGGTATTTGCACACCAAAGCAATTGGATGCTCCAGGAACCGAGAGATGGTTCTTTGGGGCAGTGTTGAAATATGTTGAAATTGCAAAATACTGGGCCGAATGAGGCCCATGTGGCATGTGGTGCCCATGTGGTGCCTTGGTGCATGGATTGGAGTTGGTTTGAATGGATCCGAACCCCATCTTGAGGCATGAGACGTGTTTTTCTGAACTGAAGCTGCTTGGACGACGGACCGGGGAACATTTGCAAGACTTTGGGTGATACTTCCTTTGAACATCTGCAAGAGCACAACGTGGTCTTAGAGGTCAGACGGTCAGACGTCGGTTGCGGACCCATCTTTTCAGTCGGTGCGGCTTTGAAGGAGGTCAGACGGAAAGCGGTCTGCAGGTGGGACGTTCAGACCGGGGTTCCACGAGAAACCCACCGCTCAGCGCCCCAGGAACCTCAAGCCCAAGGATCGCCGGAGGCCCTTGCGCTTTGACATCCATGAGAGTCTCGGACGGTGGAAGCAAGCGAGCCTTAAGAGAGGTGAGGAGCGCGGAACAACGGCCAACACGGAGGTTTTGGGGTGTTGGCTCTGAAAACCCAGCTTCCAAAACCGCCCACCGTTTCGGTGCGGGGGAGGCTGTGAAGAAATTTCCATGAGATCTTCCACTGGCGACCGGTGGAGACGGACCGATGGACCCACCACCAAGTGGAAACCACCGAGCTCCGACGGAACAGCTTGAAAGGGAAGTGAAGTCTCTCTCTCGGTGTTTCTCATCTTTCCACGTCACTCCAAGGTCACAGAGGTGAGGAGAAATCACTCCGGTGGGAGAACAGGGCACCATCGGTTGGACCGTGCAAAGGGGTCATTATCGGATTCTTTTTTTTGAACCAGGATGATTTCAGGAAGTGCAGAAGATCTTTGAGGTATTTGGTGTGGCTGTTTTCGTTTTGTACAAAAGCGCATACTGTTCGAATCAGCAGTTGAGCATGTTCGGTTGGACCATTGGCTGTCCCACAATGATGGCGCCCCTGAGTGCCCCATAGCACTTGGCATCATCATGGAAGCCCAGCGGAAAGAAGCAACCTTAGGAGATGTCTGTGGTCCTCCATTTTGGAGGATCATAGAAACCCACAGTTTCAAGAACAACCAATCCTTAGATTAATCATCACATGGTGCTGGCCTCATCTTGCAAGGAAAAAGTTCTCCTTCGCCAACCCTGCAGAAGCCATCGAATTCCTGCAGACCATGGTCGACGAAGAAACTCTGAAAGCACGACAAGTGCAGCTACAAAGGCCGCTCGGCTCATAGAAGGCTTTGCTATTGGTTGGTTGATTAATAGAGGGGATACCCCCAAGGGAACAACCATTAATAGGTATATATATGGTACCGAATCGACCTCTCTTATTCCCAAAAGGACATCATTGCACCAGCAGGGAGGAGCTTGAAGGTGACTTCTTTTTGACTGCCAACCCTCCTGGAGTGTAGCGGAGGGAGGTGTTTGGGCAGACCCACCCTCGCCTCATAGCCTGTTGTGACTCCTCGAAGGTTCGACCGTTCGAGTGGTGTTCCCCTATCGCTAAATGGTGGGTACCTACTACCAGGGCAGTACCAGAAAGCCAACTGGCAAGCCAGAAAGTCACAGATTCAAAAAGCACCAGAGACTGCAAATCGACCCAATCGGCGGGCCTGCCAATCGAGTGATTCGCAAGTGGCCCTGTGGCCTTCTGGACACACCATTCGGATGCAGGGAAACCAATTAACGATAGGTAGGAGGGTGCGCTAGCTGAAGGAAAGGTAGGAGGCCAACCACATGTTTCTGGCATGAAAATGGTGCACATCGATCACCCACACGATGATATAGTGTTCATGGGCATTCGACCTGCTTCTTCTCCCCCTTTGTGGTGCCCCGCCTGGTGAGCCACATCACCAGGTCTCCGCCGCTGCCCGTCGAGAGCACCACGGCCACGCTGACCGCCGCGCCGGAAGCACCGGCCGCGGTGACCGCGCGCGCGGCGCGCCGCGGTGCGCGGGCGCGGTGCTGCGCAAGGGGCCACATGATAGCTCGGAAGGGAGAGGCCTTTGGGCTCTTCCAGGTGGGGAAGCTGTCTGTTGGGTCGTGGCTGTCGCAGGACATGACATGTACCTGCCAACACCCATACAATATCGGGATTCAAGGATCAAAGGGCTCAATCCCGGGGTTATGGGTGTTTTTTTTTTGCCGTCAGTCATCAGTGCTTTTCGTGACGGTTACCAGTGACGGGTCATTATTTTCGTACCAGTCATTGGCATTTTTTTTAATGACGGTCAGGCGGTGTTCCAGAGTGAGTCAAAGGCACTGCTTGCCGGCTCACTCATGGTACTCGCTGGTACGTAGTCCCTGTTTCAGGGGTTGGTGCGGTTGTGGGTAGGAAGTTGTGCTTCTTGGGTTTGGTTGAGAGCTTATGCGCCAGTTTTGGGAGTTTGGGAGATTGGTGGGGTCTTGAGTCTTGGGCTTCAAGTGGTTGGCGCTTTGTGGTGGCTGGATGGTGCAGGTTCTATTGGCTCGGGAAGTATCCGGGTTTGGTTGTGGAGTTGTAGAGAGTTCTCATCTTCAGGCAGGGAGCAGTAGTTGCCGCATCTTCGTATGATGGATCCAGAACGAAGTGACAACTCGAGGGACAAACATTCAAGGAGGGCATTGGCACCAATCCAGATGCTGGATACACATCTCTCCAGATCACCGAAATTCGAGCATTGCGCATGGCCCTGACTCCATGACCCAACCCTCCACTTTGGATTCTCAAGGTTCAAGCACCGCTCAGTAGACATGAGTAGACCACGTCTGGTGGTTCTGTGAGGTTCAGCTCGGGATTTCACAGACAGGTAGGGGCTCTTTCTTTGGTTCAGGAGTTTAAACAACTAAACACTCTTCCCCACAGCCCATCCCGCGGCGATTCTCAATGATCCTCACTCCTATCCACCAACTCGGCAGGATAAGAAGATTTGTCACGCCTGCTGCACGACCTTTGGACCCGAGACCAGCTACTACCGTTGCATGCAAAACTGCAAGTACAACGTCTGTCACCACTGTCCCTCGCAGTGGGTTCCACCTTTGACGCACGAAAGGGGGACGTCCGTGGATGGATGGTGGATGAGCTGGTACAAAGGAAAGATCCAGCCCGCGAGTCTGAACTTGGGGCATGTAGACATCCAATGGATGACCTTCACCCCAATCTAAGAATTGTTGTTCCTTGAAAGTTGCCACTTCTTGGTTTTGTTTCTCGCTTTCTTGGAATGTGAATGTGCCTTTTGGCAGGTGTTTGTGGTGATATCTATTTTCTATTTGCAGTAGAGACATTGCTCCAAGAGCCAGTCTCTTCCAAAAATCAGGGGCAACTGGAGGTTTTGGGGTGATGAAAATGGACCAGATCCATTCTCACTCCATGGACGAAAAGTGGTAGGTTCAGACTCTATAGATCTGTTACTTACTGTTAGTTACTCTCCTTGGAACTACCACGGAAGTGGAGATCACTACTGTTTGGTAGTCGGAAAAAGACAGGTCTTCCGAACTCGGGGCACACTGCCATCTACTTCCCGCGTGAGTTCCAGAAAGTGCACCAGTTGTGGTGTACTGGGTTTCTTCGCCCAGTTGTGGGGCGCAAGCTGCTTCGTGCTTCGGCTTCCTGCGAGCTTTCCGGTGTCTTGAGGCTTCCAGGAGGCGCGACACAGTGAAGCGCAGCAGATGCTTGAGGCGGGGACGCCTGGGAAGCTCGGCCGGGTCTTGGTTGAAAGAATTTAGTGGCGATGGCCTCCAACCGAATAGCACTGGATGGACATGGTCTCAGAGTCACATGGATGGTCGGTCCAAGCTGCTGTGGAGCGTGTTTGTTTTTTTGGGGTCAGCGATGTTTTCTCCCTTTCGGCCATGACCATCCATGACCCACATCACAGCAATCTGATCCTATCTTCGACGCCCACTGTCCTGGAAGACTCATGTCCTCCCAGGTCTGTCGCCGCGTCGCCCATGGAATTTTGGGGGTTTCAGTGCTGGGGCGACGATACCAGTCCGGCTTGAGATACCAGCTTTTTGTTCTGCCGAGACCAGTTCGTGATTTGATAAGTTTTTCTTGCGTGACTTCTTGACGTGAAAGTCATACGAAGCTAATATAGAATGAACGAAGTCCTGAATTTGGGAATTTTGGATATATATATATATATAAATAAGTTTGAAAAAACATCCAAATTCATTTATAACATATTCTAAAATGAACGAAATCCTGATATGAACCAACATTTGGTCTTGAAATAAGTTTGGGACCCAAACTGGTTGGACTCCCCAGCTGGACAGCACTTCTTGGCGGAGTCTCCACCCCGGACCGCCGGCGCCCGCAGGGCCAGAGTGAGCCAAGCTGCCAGGAAAGCCATAGTGATGTGGAAAGCGTGCTGGAATTTGAGGTGGGAGCAGGTAAGAAGACCTGGTGATATCATGGTGCTGCTGGTCAGTAGATGTATATATCTATATAGATATAAGTAGCAATGCAGGAAGAACAAGGATGTCCAATCAAAGCTGCTATTCGTAGCTATGCGCTGGCCAGCGTCCACAGTGGCTGAAGTATCACCCCCCAAATCAAAAATGAGAAGCACTTAGCAACCCAAATCATCAGTTTCCAACTTCTGCTTCCCATCAGCTCCATGTTGGCTTCCCAAAACTCCCCAGCCCAAGCCCGACCCCTCTCCATCCCATGGATGTCCTTTGACGGGATGGGGAGGGAGACCCCCCTGGCCTTGGCTGGGGTAGACGGGTTTGTTTCTCTTCCAGAACATCGTTGCCTGGGAGGTCTCTCTGATACACACCCATCATCACCCATATGTGACTCTGGACCAGCCTTGCTTACCAGGTATAGACACCCAGATGCATTTGTTCCGTTCGTAGCGAACATTGTTTCTAATAGCAAATATTGTTACTAGTAAGGCACTTGTTACTAGAAGCGATGCACTTGTTCCGTTCGTAGCGAACACCCTCGGTTTCTCGGGGCGCTCGCCCGCCGGAGGTCCATGGAGGTCTCCGCTCGGAGCTGTGGCCCTTCGCGGAGTCGCGGTCACGTCCCTTTGCGGCGCAGCTGGAAGAGCTGGCCGAGGTCTTTGAGGCTGGAAGGAGGGGAACAGGGGAACAGGAGGAGAGGAAGTGCCACGGACGGGGGCGTTGGGGGAAGAACCTGTTTCCTTTTTTTTTGGTGTTGCTTGATGTTGCTTGATGCTGGTGAGCAAGAGCTTTCTATCGAAGCTGTTGGAACAAGAAGCTGTTGTTGCTAGATCTGAAAAACTCGGGCCACTTCTGCTGGGCTCTTCAGTGTCACAACAAAGGAGACCTTGGTCACTTCTGATTCTTCCTCTTTGCGGGGGGCAACATCTGGCAGATGGTTTAAATTAGACCTGTTAAGCCTTAGACCGTTTTCTAAACGTAAGTCATTGATTCATATCGATTTTGCATTCTCCGGTTTTCCTCTTCCCCCGTCGCCTCCCGTCTGCCGCCTGAATGGACCCACCGCCTCCCCGATTCGTTCCTCGACCCCGAACGATATCAGGTGCCCCACGGAGTGCTGCTCCATAGCCAGGGCTCGGAGGTGGAAGTGATCCAGTCCATCTTGCAACTCCAGGCCTGACGTAAACCCGGCGTTCCAGGCGGCACGCGCGCGCACGCGCGCGAAGGGGTGGGGTGATGAGATTTGAAGAGAGAAAGGCTTATTTTTGGGCCTCTTGGTTTGTGAGAGCTGGGGTATGCATGGTCTCCTTGGAATTCTGGGAATTCAAGGGACTATTGGATGTTTAGAATGCAAAGGAACAATGAAGAAGAGCCCTCCTTCTAAATAGGTTCGTGGCCAGCAAGAAGCTTTGTCAGCATCTCACTCATACCAATCCCCCCTTTGGAGTGAAACATTTTGACATTTTTTTGCTTATGCATTACAGGAGAACATATCAAGATGATCTTCCATGTCCTTGTCAGGCAAGACATAGCCTTTGCACTATCCTGTTCTTTTGATCTGCTTTCCATTTGTATCTCCTTTCAGGCCCTACCCCGCACCGCTTCGCTGGCACTGGAAGCACCCCAGCAGCTGCTTCAGCAGCTGCTGGGGCAGATGAGCAGCAGCCCTGACGCGCTCAGGCACATTGGAAGGATGTGCTTTTTGTGGTCGGAGGTTGGCTGGTGCCTCCAAATGTAGAATAAAACCGATAGGAAACGGTCTCCAAGAATCCACTTTTCGAGGAAGCTTTTCGATGTTTTGAGGTGGTCACAAGGCAGTTTTCAGTCCATGTTTTGTTTTGGATTGATGCCCAAACTGGCGGGAACCCTCAAATAAACCAGCAGCCATCAGCCATCACCAAAGGGTTCTGATAGTTCTGATGTATTTGCCAGCGGGCGAAGCCGCGTGTATCGTGACCCCACTCATGGGATGGAACCACTCACGAAAGCATTGGGCACTCACATGGCAGCAAGTCCTTTTCTTCGAACCGAAGATAGACTGAGACGAAAGGCCGAGATTGACACCTTTCTGTGTTTTTCAATCGGCCAAAGCAAACACATAAGTGGGAATCATACCTTGTGTTAGAGTTTTTCACTTGGCCCACACCCCAAATGGTACTTGCAGGCCATGGATTACAGCAGTCTCATGCCAGTCTTATAGCAGTGATTCAGGACTCACTCACGACAAAGCCGCCAGCTCCACATCCAATTCCATGGTGGTTTACACTCCTAAGCCCTTCCCTGACATGATCATGGAAGTGGAATGCACCCTTCCAGGGCCTCTTTTCCACTTCTAAGCACTTCTATGTTAGTGAGTCAGAGTGCAACCTCCTTTTCCCCTTAGTGGAGAGTGCTTTCATTGAGCGCCCCCATCTTTTGCGCTTGCGCGCGCCTCATGGCCCACGCGTGTTAACCGTGTCCCATGTTGTGCTTCTCCTGTATCTCGACAGGATCGCTTGGGGTGATTCAGACATGTGGGGAGTACAAAGGCCTGCAGGAGCCTGGCTGCAGTTGCATTTGTTTCCCCATCACCACGGTGAAACAGGTCTCCCTGGCAGTGCAGCAGCATGTGTGCAAGACAGACTGCAAGACCCAAGACAGCGTCACAGTGAGAGTCATGACAGCTGTGCAATACCAGATCCGAAGGGACCTGGTGAAGGCTGCATGTTTTGACATTGAGAGTCCACTTTCGCAAATTGAAGCTGAAGTCGATAGTGTCCTTCGCACAACTCTTCCTGGCATGACCTTGGATGAGAGCTACCAGGCAAAGGAGAAGATGGTGGAACTGATCTTGGCATCTGTGCAGGAGGCCATGAAGAGATATGGCTATGACATCATCAAGGACAGACTTTTGACATATTTCCTCATTTTTTTTTTTTTAAACTTCTTGGCTATCATGTACATATTTGACACATGTGGTCTGCAGAAGTTTGATGTTCGCTGCTAGGTGCTGATTACTGACATCAAACCCGAAGGGTCAGTCTTGGCTGCCATGAACAATATCATTGCCCAAAGACGGCGGAGAGAAGCTGCAGTTGAGAAGGGTGAAGCCGAGAAGTTTCTGAAGGTCAAAGCAGCAGAAGCAGAAGCTGAAGCCAAGCGGCTGGCAGGTGTAGGCATGGCTGGCATGCGTCTTGCAACAGCCCATGGTCTTCTTAATGCCATGCAGTTTTTCAAGGACACTGGCATGACAAACATTGAAGCCATGCAGATGATGATCACCACGCAATATTTGGACACTTTGAAGGACTTCTCCCGCCATACCTCTGTTGTGGTGCCGCATGTCCATGCGACTGGGACGGGGGAGACCCAGGCGCAGCGTGAGGCTTCCCTTTCTGAAGCACCCCAGCAAATGCTGGATATGCAAGACGAGGGAGCCCTGTGTCAAGCCCCCGAACCACCCTGGGAAATGGAAGATGGAGAGAGGCTTCCAAATAGCGGAACGTCCGAGAAGACAGGAAAGACAGTGAGGAAGAAGAAAAGGAAAGTGAAAAAAGGAACTGCACTTTGTGACTGTGGAGAAAATCAAGAAAATCAGCTTTAGAGAACACCCAGGAACACCGATCTCGGTGGATCTCGAAGGATCGGACAGCCACTCCCAAGGAGTCGCCGTCGGCGGAGCGAACACAAAAAGGGTCTTCGTCTTGCATGGAAAGGGGACGAGGCCCAAGCGCATTTGCTTGGCCACCTTAGACGCCTTTTAGGAATCCCATACACAATCATGCACATCTTAAGATCTTAGGCTAACTGATTCTTTCCGGAGCTGACACCCTGAATTCACAAGGGTTTAGGGTATGTATATATTATACATAAATCTATATAAATATATCAAACGATGCAGACTCAAGTTAGACCTTCGTTTGTAACACGTGATGATGTGTTCTGCACTTTCTTTGGGTTTCACTTCATCTTTCACAAGAGCCCATACCTGGATTCTGTCGATTCAACCCTTACATTTGACTTTCGGTAGTTTTCCCCCTTGGTGGTCCGAATCTTTGCCAAATCGCACCACACAGCAATTTCCACCTTGCAATTGAGTTCCCATAGTTCACCTTCCTTCAACGAAGCTAACGAAGCTGGCATTTTGGAAGATGAAGTACGACGACAGACTTTGGTCGACGCTGTCGAACAAAAACAGCGGTCTTGAGATTTTGTTCGACGGACTACAGACTCTGTGATTTGATATGACTAAGGAGCCGCGCTCTCGTCGTTTCTTGACCTCAAACAGCCAGTACTGTAAGTGCAGGGTCATCCAGCATGCGTCGTCGCCGAAACCCACCGGGTTGCTGTCCGCGCGTACGGTGCGTCACAATTCTTCAGGCATTTGGTGTCAATCCTGTCTCTCAGCCGCCGAATGGGAGGAGATTAGCTGAATGCGTCTGAATGAAGGAGTCCAACTTCCAGTTCAGAAGCTCCCTTCTAGTTCAGGCAGCTTCTCAAATATCACTGATGTAGAATCATCCTTCAGAAATTTGTCTGACGTGTGAACTTTGCAGAACTAAGTCCAGATGATGCTATAGGACTACTATGTCTGTGACTGACCGATCGGGCTTCAACAGTTGAAGATCCTGATTCACCTCTCAGGTCTTTCTCAGTATTTCTGGTGTCCGTGCTACTTCCCTCGAACCAGGTTGGCTCTCCCACCCCTCGAACCAGTTCCTTTGGGACCACGACTTAGTGCTTGACTGCAGCGGGACTTGTGCTGAAAACATGTCCCTTAGCACCGTAGCTGTAGTGGATACAGAGGGAAGTAATGACAGGACGATTTTGTGTTCTGAGGACATCAAGAATATGCTAAATAACAGAAGACACATAAGAGATAAACAACAAGGTAAGGGTTCATAAAACCCCCGGTATGGGGTAAGTCTTAAGACATCTTAAGACCCTTTCGTTCCTTTTTACCTCTTGTGGACTTCTAAAAGGATCTATTTTAAATAGATCTTTTTAGAAGAAGTCCACAAGAGGTAAAACAATTTTTGAGAGGCTTCTAGGCTAGAGGATCCCTATGAAGAGCCTTTCGAACGTCCGCCAGTCAGACCTGTTCAGAAGACAGTCAGACCGCCACCCGGTTCCAACAGGTCCTTGTGGTACCAAACAGATCCAAACAGCAAGTTTCTCACAATATGTACATTCCCAGGAATAATCATGGAAGTGAAAAATGGCCCACGCTGTCCTCTACTGGTACATACCAACAGGTCGTTTTCCACTTCCCGGACTCTTTCTCTTTCAGGGAGTTTCTTTGGGCCGTGAAAATGGGATTGATTGATTTGTGCATCGAGATCCCGGATCATCCGCAGGGATGTTCACCAGCTCCAGTCGGGCTAGTTCTGGACGCCGGTAGGTCACTGTGGAGGCTGATTGAGCTCTCTATAGAATCTAGTTTTATACAAAAAGCACTAAATCCAATGAAGAGGTCTTTGAAGAGGTCTTTGCTCCAAAAGCACTGGATTTGAAGAGGTCTTTGCTCCAAGTCGCTCTGGCTGTACGCCGGACACCACACCGGACCGGACACCGGTCTGTCACCGAGGTGTGCCACCGAGGCGCTGGCGGCGGAAGCCTTTCGCCAGGTGTGAAGGGCCAAGGGCTGAGGGGCCCTGGGACGCTCAGGGAGAGAGCCAATTGAGGAGCCCAGGTCAGTGTGGAATTCCTCGTCAGGCAGTGCCTGCCACGCCCTCGGCGGTGTTTTGGAGCAGACAAGTCATGTTCTTCACCAGTGAAACCTGCAACGTCGAACAGGGCAATCAGGGGCTTCAAAAGCACTGGCCCTGTGTTGAAGAGAGATTGTGACTGTGAAGTGCGGTGGGGATTTGTTTGTATGAGCAGGAATGCCCATTTCTCACCACAAGGAGACTCTATACACAAACTTTACTACGGATTGGCTGATGCGCATAAGTCACATATTCATAGATGAATAAAACAATAAACACATAATATATATATATAATATACATAAACAGCTGTAGCAAAACCCTCCAAGAAAAGTGGCCCCTGTCGCAAGTTGTCTTCGCTAAACGATCCGTGTCCAGGGCCTCCTGGGCTTTCTGGCTGAGAAAAAGGTCCCCAGGTAAAAGTTCGATATTCCCCAAGGCGAGTGAACACTGCATCACTGATACCGAACCAACAAAACCTGCTACTTGTACTTGTACTTGTAGTAGTAGTAGCAGCAGGAGTAGTAGTAGTAGTAGCAGTAGTAGTAGTGGTGGTAGTAGTAGTACGTAGTGGTAGTAGTAGTAGTAGTCGTAGTCGTAGTCGTAGTAGTAGTAGTAGTAGGTAGTATAAGTAGTATAAGTAGTATAAGTAGTATAAGTAGTATAAGTAGTATAAGTAGTAGTAGTAGTAGTAGTAGTAGTGGTGGTAGTAAGTAAGTAAGCAAGCAAGCAAGCAAGCAAGTAAGTAAGTAAATAAGTAAATAAGTAAGTAAGTAAGTAAGGAAGGAAGCAAGCAAGCAAGCAAGCAAGCAAGGAAGTAAGTAAGTAAGTAGTAGTATCCCCCCCTTATGAGTGTAATTTCTGAGGGGGGCTGTGAAATTTCTTACGCTGGGTGGTCCGAAACACCAGGTTGACGCTTGGCTGGGCTCAAAGCACGGGGGGGAGGTGCTTTGTTTCACCACACTAACCACTACATATCACAGCTAAACCATGCCAAACTTTCAAACACAGCTAGTAAGGAAGAAAGAGGCCAGGTTGGCAAGACAAGAGTTTGAATGGAGAAACATGTGGGAACCCAAGTGTTTCGAACTTTCAGACTACAGCGACATGATGTGACATGCACATACATGCACCATTCATGACATGCAGTGACGGTCTTTCGAGATGCTTTCATCCGAAGCCATGGCGGCTGCCCCACAGTGGTGTACAGTGGGCACTTGCACCACGGCTCATGTCTCGGTTGGGGTGAGCTCTGAAAGGTTTGGTGATGCCTTGTGGGGTGGACGCCGGTGGCGCAGCCAGGTGGTGTTTATTTTTGTGGCGGTCCCGCGCGCTCCATGATGTCCCATGCGCCACACTTTGGTCTGACTTACATATATGATCAAAGATTGGAACAGGCTGATTGGCCCCGAGTTTTTGGCCTTGAGTCCCCACAGTCGTCATTGTGTTCACCTGCCACATCTCAGGCTAGTCGTCATTGTGTTCACTCAGGCTTGGAGTAAATGATAGCCCCTGTTTGGAATAGCAGGCGCAACGTTTTCACTTCAACTTCTACCTGCAGTCCTTGGATGTTTTGTGCAAAGATGTGCAAAGTTCTTATATGATCCGTTATGTGCTCGTAGAACTGTAAGGTTAAAACCAATGGCTGGAAAATGCCAGAGATACATGAGTTGCACCAATGGTCTACAATGTTGCTCTGCATCTAAGGAAATGCGGAAAGGATCCCGGCCATCACATCATGTCGCCGTCCTGCAGCGTCGCAGCGTGTGGCGACTCACTGCAAAGGATGGGTTTTTAGAGCCGTGAGACACTGTGGGACACTATGGAATACCCAGAGACAAACTCACAATATCTCACAATCCTGCAATGGGAGATGGCAGGACTTGCGATCAAATTTTGACAATAGCGTACCACACAAGAAATGAAGCCAGCGTTAATTTTAATACATGCTGATTCATGCGCTGTTTGCGTAGATTAACAAATGTGTTTTCTTCAGCCGTTGCCGTCGCCGCACCATTATTAGCCAAGTTGGGATGGCCACTGGCACCACACAACCTGCCTGACCGAAAAACTCCGCTTATTGCAGAGGGCGGGCCGGGCATTTTTGTGAAATCCAGGTGGCTTTCATCGCTGTTTGCTGTTTCATGCCTGCAGAGTGAGGCATATAGTGTGGCAACGCAATATACATAAGTAACGTTGGAATATGCTGGGAGCAGTGCTGGGGGCCTTTCAAGATACTATATTGGCTTTGTTTATGTGGGAAAAGAAGCAAGTCGGTGTCTGGGTGTGGGCCCATGTCATCCCATCCAGTCTTGCCAGGGTCCAATGGTGGACATTGGACACAGTGGCCACAAGCAGGACTGGGAATTGATTGGATTTGGATGCAACCGCCTGGACTCCCCCTAGATTGGTTAGAGCATGTTGGAGCACGAGCTAGATCAGTTTGGCCATGTTTGGCCTTGAATGCAACTTGACTTGGGTTGGTGCTTTCATGGCCTGGACCACCCATGTGCCATGCTTTCTGTTCTCAGCCTTCGAAGATGATTTAGTAGCCATATGATGCCCACATGATGCATATCGGGTCCCTACTCAGGGTGGCGTGCCTGGGTCGTTTCTGACTGGTTGATACTAGTTAGTCGCACGTTTTTACGTTTGTCTCGATCCGTACGTTGTGTCCAGCTTTGTCTGGTTATGTCTGCTTGCTGGGGTCGGTTGGAATTGGCCTGATTAACCTGTGTCTTGTATTGTCAGTTTGTTGTAACACGCTGTAACATGGCAACATGCTGACGTGGCGGGGTGGTGACAAGACACATGCGCATGGTAGTGGCCCAACCAGCCCACGCTTGAACAGATCTTCACATTGCTTCCTAGGGCCGAACCATCGACAGTGAGCATCATCTCGAACATCTTGATCAGGCGGGTTGTTCTAGGTTTCCAAAAAGCAGCTGCGCCCCAATTACACCGGCATAGACCCCAGATAGGAACTACTGTGCAAGAATGACTTTCCCGGTTGTTTTGGAACAATGCCCAAGAATGCGCATTCGCTGAACCTGTTTGGCCGGCGACGCACAAGCAATGCAACTGCATCAGTCAAGGGTGCAAATAAGAGGAAACAAAACGCCGGTCACATCTGGCGAACAAGTGAGAACAGAGTAGGGCAGAGGAGACAAGAAAAGATTGACCAAAATGATCAGCCGCCCAGTCGAAAAGTGAAAGCCCCTTTTGTTTTCAGCTATTCTCCTGGAGACAAGTGGGGAGAGAAAGGAGGAGACAAGGCGCAGCAGCAGACAAAACGCCGATCATGGGCAGACAAGTGAGACAAGTACGAGTGGGGAGACTGATGGCAGCGTTGGGCCAAACCGCCAACTAATCACCCATTCATTGAGTCATTGAGAAGTAATAGCCGAAACTGTGAACAGAAACAGTTTGTGGCACACTTTCTAGTTTGGTGGTGCTAACAAGTTCTAACAAGGTGAAAATCAGATCCATGGGGCAAGTGTAAGTGTCAGCAAACCTCATTCGCCAAACCTTTGCACCAGGAAATGATGGAGGAGAAGCGCTGAGGTCCAAACTTCATTCTGTCAGGTGCTTTGCTCACATGGTGTCGAAAAGGCACCGCTTGTGTTGCCACTCGTATCTTAGGCGTTTCAGAAGTGCCTGTCGATTATGGAATCATTCTTACCAACAAACTTCAACATGTCGTGTAGCTGCAATATGCTGCAATCATTTCAGCGAATATTGTGACATGCTCCAAAAAAAGGGCAGATAAAAGGCTTGGCGCACTGCTAGAGAACGCTGAAGACACTCCATGACACTCCCGGGGTAGTGCGGGAGCTGCGCACAGGCAAGATCTGTAGACAGATCCACAGAGAGCTTGACGCGCCCAGAAAATTGGCCGCTGTGCTCGCAGCTCCTGCAATGGGGCGCTCGCCATCGCTCGCCTACTCAGAGCAGCTGGAGAGAAAATGACGGGTGCACGATGTCGCGTGCGCTCACCAAGAGTGTGACGAAGTCTGCGCCCCCCCATAAATTTGAAATTTTAGAGGAGGAACCTACCCCCCTTGAAGGGTGGGTGGATGTAGTAGTAGTAGTAGTAGTAGTAGTAGTAGTCGTAGTAGTCGTAGTAGTCGTAGTAGTAGTAGTAGTAGTAGTAGTAGTAGTAATGGTAGTAGTAGTAGTAATGGTAGTAGTAGTAGTAGTAGTAGTAGTAGTAGTAGTAGTAGTAGTAGTAGTGCCAGTTGTTGTTGTTGTTGTCGTCCACGCTTTAGCTTATCCCTTTAACTTTAGGGTGGGGACTGAACCCGGGTCATAGCCACTAGAGCATGCCGGCGTTCGGACCATCCTTCTTGTCCATTCTATATGTCACTAGTTGGGGCCCGTCACTCATGTCATTCTCTTGAAAACCACCAAGAAGATTCTGACAAGTATTTCTAATTGTATCGATCACCCTCGCAAAACAGATTCTTTTAATAATGTATATATACTGTGGAACGCTCAGACAGTGAACGAATCGTACCATGTAATACGTAAGAAACTGCGCAAAAAGTACGCATCGACCACCACTGCTTTTCTCCAGGGCGCCTTGCCCGCGCTCGTGGCGCAGCTCTGCTGTAGCACGGAGCGTGCAACGTCCACCGCGAGCGCAACCGGACCGGGTACACAGGTTGCGCGCTAGCGCGCAGGGGGGGGGGGTCCGGTGGATGTGGAGAGAGTATGAGAGAGTCTGGTTTGTGATGGTTTGGGCGGTTGTTGGGTGTACAATGATAACGGGAATTGGAGGACATTGTGGGAAGACATGAACCCGGCAAAACCCAGCAGACTTGAATACATGTTGCATCATGTTGCATAAGTTTTGAGTGTCTAGATCCTTAAGTCAGCTGTTTGGCATGTGAAGATCTTGCACCCGCAGGACTTTGTGCCCTTTTGAGGCCTACGCGCAAAGAGGCGGGTGGAGGAAGAGGAAGAGGTTCCAACAGAAGCTTCAACATACCAAGACCGTTCCAAGGTTTGAGTTCTGCAGGTCGTAACCAGCCGTTTGTGCGCAAGCTTGCATACAGACCTGGTTTGAGTGACAAGCGACCCGGTTTGAGTGACCCGGTTCGACCGTTCGATTCGACCGTTCGGTTGGTGGATGTCGATGGTTCGAGGGTTGGGAAGATGAACGGATTTTTTGCGCACCGATGTTTTTTGAAGCATTCTTCATAGGTCATGGGTGCCTTTAGCTTCACATATGCAAAAAACAAGATCTGCCCAACGCCCTGGCTTCAAGATGAACTTCATGTCGTGACATCCATGTTCAGTTTCTATGTCAGTTGTTTGTCAAACTCTTTGACAGCTAAAGGCAAACATTTTCGGATGTTTTTGTTTTTTGTTGCTTTCTACAACAACATCCTTCTGCACCTTTTTCTTGTAGCATCCTTTGATGTGGATCACCCAAACCGCAGTGGTGGGGAAGGTGGTGCCAAACGAGCCAGGAGGCCAAGGAGCAACTGGAGCAGCTGTGGAGTGAGCATGGTGTGGAGCCCGAGTGGCGGGACATCGCTGCAGAGTCACCCCAAAAAGGTGACCAAAAGCAGAGTGAAGCGGATCCGAGACACTTCTATGCTTGTTCAACGACCCCAGGACTCACATCAAACCTGAAGGCTTGACGCCTGGAAAAGAATTCTTTGTCTCAGGTCAACATGATCACGTCTTCAGGCTCTTCTGCTGGGAGCCTTCCGAAACTCCCCCCGTTGCTGCTGCGTCCCTTCCGCCCCCAAACGCGCCCCACGCTCCGAGGCGATGCCTTGCTGCGACGCTTGACACGGCCAGGCGTCGGCAAGGCCGAGACGGCCCTGCTGCTGTGGCTCGTGGAGGCGCGCGCTCCACGCGCGGGCGCTCACCACCGCGGTGCGACGGTGGGGCGGTTGTGCGACGTTGGCATTTCTTTTTTCCGAGAAAAGACATCGTGTCTTGAGAACATCTCGATAAGCATCTCTGAGCTGGATGTTGTTTGGAAAACAACCGAACGTCGATTCGAAGATGACAGACATCACAGCCCTTAGTAGCCTCTAGGCATTTGCTTTTGGAGTGTGAACAGCTGCATCCTCAAGATCTTCATGGTGTTTGTGTGTGTGACTTGACTAGCTCGACTGTTGGATTCTGCTGTCATGTGAACAAGTGTACCAACCAATGATGAGGAGAGCTGATGCGCTTTCGTAGGACCAAATTTCAGGGACACATCCTTTCAAACACCAACACCTCCAACTTGAAGCCCTTGGGTCTGATGCTTAGTAGGGGTGATATTAAGCCACAGACACAGATACAATTAGATACATATGGGCAGGTCCTTTTTTGTGACGACAGGTGGCTTCTACTCGGCCCTGCTAGCCAGCTTCTCAACCCTTTGAAGCGACTCAGCGCGTGTTTGATGCCAACCCGTTCCCAATCCGATGCGTTCAAACCGAATCTGCGGAAGAACCACCGGCCCATCGCACCCTTTTCGACCCGTCGACCCACATGGAAGACCTGAGTCACATGGAAGACCGATGGGATGAGCCCAATTGAGCGACCCATAGCTATTTGCTAATTAGTAGCGATGCACCTGTTACTAGTAACAAGAAGTGACTAGTAGCGATGGACTTGTTCCTAGCAGGGATGCACTTAGTGACTAGGGTTTCTCCAGAATTTCTCTCCTTTTCTCAGGCGTTTTCGAGCACTTCGCACAGCCATGGGCAGCACAGTTTGTCGCCACAAAGTCGCTCGGTTTGCAGGAGCTCGAGCTCGCTTCGGAGACCTTCAGGGCTTTGCAGGAAGGCCGGACCCTCGCCGTTGATTCGCAGCCGGCGTCAGCGGTTCTTGGCCCCCCCCCCAACAGGTTTGGGGGTACACTGGTCGGACCATCGGTACCTGAACAAATCCTTGATTTCTTGAGAGGAAGGACACGCTTTGCTGTGGTTTGGGGGTGGCCTGTGGTTGTCATTTGGCCAGAAACGGTGGGTTTCCGCTGCTGCATTCAGCGAGAGGGCGCTGGTGCCACCAGGGTCGTCGACCTACCTCAAGTGGCGAAGTGACCCGAAGCAGAGACATGGCTGGAGGTCAAAACCGGAGGACCCTGGTGGACCACAGAACATGAACAGAATAGACGACCGGGTTTCGGTCCACCTACCAGGGAGAGTTCCGGGGCTCCGGATGCCATGAGCCACCATATGTCCGGAGGGTCGGGTTTTAAAGTTGGGCGGTCGATCTCGAGGAGGACATCTCTGGCTACATCATCATGTCACTTCTGTGCAGTTCACAAAAATATACACCACCATACACCACCAGCCATTGGCCATAAATTTAAACCCTCCCGGAAACATGACGCGCACTGGCGCCGATGGTGCTGATACGGCACGTGGGACGCCTCGCCGACGGACCTGGACGGACCCTGACGGACCGTTGGCCCGAACCAGGGGACAGCGGCAGCCCCAGTGCAGCGGAAGAGGTTTGGGGGGGAAGGACACACCGGTCGTTGTGGGGCAAGGACGCCTGACGACGGAACGAGCCATGAAACACCAACTGTACAACAGTACAGCATCTTAAACAAAGAACAAACCTCTTCCTCTTGCGATTGCCAAAGACTCTGTCCGCGGCCGCTCAAAGAATACACGAAGAAAATACAAGAACCATGGAGAATACACAGTTTCCTTTTTGGTTCAAGTATATACTTGGACCCATTTTTTGTTCGTACCCTAGAACATGGCACCTGAATCCCATGGTACGGGTACAGTTTTGTGCACAGGGTCCGAGGGAGGTCCAGGTCGACTCCAGGTATGGGTGGAACAAACCATGTGGCTGGAGATCCTTTCCTTTTGGACTTCAGATGGAGATGTGCTGAATCTGAATCCCACTTGCGGTCAGGATCACGTGTGAAGGATTGGCTGAACAGGGGTGTCAAAGGCATACCTGACCTGTCGAGTCCAGAAGAGATTGAGCTTGCCCCTTTTTTTTTTTAAGGAGCTGCTGTCATCCTCCAGTGGGATTTGATACTGGGTGAATGGATGGGAAGGGTGGATCCACCGCTGACGTTTAGAGGTCAAAACATGGGCTGACACACGAACTGGGCTGCTGGGACTCGCCATCCGGCTGTGTGAATCGAACCCAACGACGCTCATGCAATGCAACCGTCCAGTCCTCATGCGATCTTGGCGATCGAACAAGGAGCGAGTCCATCGCTCTGAACCCCGTTTTCTTTTCGGAGAGGAAGCGCCAGTGGCGCGCTTTGCACTCTTCACATAGGAGACCCAGACACGACCTGTTTGGGACTGGAATCAATGCCTGCATTGACCTGTTCAACAACCACCAAATTTATGTAACATTATGTACAGTAAATATACTAGACATTCAGTGTCTGGGATATACAACTTCTTTGGATAGGACCATCCTGAAAGTTCACAGTCTCTCCTGCCGTTCCTAGTTGACCCAAGCTCCGGCCAAGCTTGTGCGCAGGGGGAGCGAGAGGGCCCTTCCTCCGGTTTGCAGGAGCATATCAGAGCTGAGATGGCTTCATTTGCGACACCATGTGAAAAACAACCAGATGGGCATGTGAAAACCTGTTCCATTGGCAAGTAGCTGTCTCTTCAGACCAATTCCCGTTGGAATGTTCTCCATCTCGATGGATCCAGGGGCGACGCACCCTGCTTCATCCTGCTTCGGCCGAAGGGAACTCCGCAGTCGGAACGTGAAACGGACGGCGCACGCGAGTCGCGGCAGATGGGAAGGTGATCAGACCGAAGACCAGGATCTATGAGGACCCACGAATCCCAAACCGGGTGGACCTTCTTCAGGTGTAGACTATGCATATCTACGTCATACAAATCAAGTGGTATGGGGCGTTTTGAGCATCGTGTTTTGTTTTTATTTTTTTTAGTTTTGGTGGGGAGAAAAAGGTGAATGATGTGCGAAAGGGGCTCTCCTCTCGACATGTGAAAGAGGCCCCTGGCGCCGGCAGGAGCAGGAGATGGGGAGAGATGTGCTTGAGCTTCTTCGAGCAGCTGGGCTTCAGCGCAGACCACCCCAAAAAGAAGTGCCCAGGTAGGGCAAAACGATTGATTCTGTGTACTGCAAGTGAAGACTCTTAGCTTGAGTGCTAAAGACAGGTTCTGCCAAATTGTGACAAGGAGTTAAGAAGGGAGGGCATTTCAAGCCACACTAGGAAGCAGGGTTTCAACATGGGTGCAGTGAATGGTGAGTGGAAACGCTTTGAATCGTTGGATTTCCTATTTTTTTGGCTTCAATGAGTTTCAAAGTTGTAGTGGAGATGACGCAGTCACTCCATGCTTGGTCATTCAAAGACCTCAGAAATTGAACTTATTGTAACATTGTAACTGCCTATAGTGTTTGAGCGTTGGCCTTGACCATTTAGGGCCCAGCACTCTAAAGGGGCCACCTGGGACAAGAACCCTGGCGATACCTGGCGTCCGGTGAAAAAGGTTCCACGACCCCCCCTTGCTCTCTCTCTCTCTGTCTCTCTCTCTTTGTGGATGCGACGGAGTGCTACTGCAAGACTTGAGGAATGCTTCCAGGGCCCTGACACTACGTAGGACGTGCGTCCGAGGAGTTCGATCTTCTGCAACTGACTTCATCGAAGTTTAGGTTGGAGGCCATCGCTGGAGCTTCGCTTCATGCAAACTTTGAAGGGCAAGCGCGCACCTTACGGTGTTTTTTATTTGGGTGTTCCCTACCATTGCCTTTGAGCCAACCAACTGATCTTCCAGGTCTTGGAGAGGAAACTCAGAGGAGCATCCATTTTGGACAAGCAACATCCCATGTTCACAGATGTTCACAGCATCCATTTTTTGGGGGGCTCCAAAAAGACACCTCGCAACAACTGAATGCCGTCCACTCCGAACTGTGCCGTTCCCGACCGTCCGGGTGCTCCCCTCCAAAAGCGCTTTCGTCTTCGCCCGGTCGGCGAGTCGGATCTGCCGTCGGGGTGTTGGGACGGGCTGCCCCAGGGGGGAACGGCAGCGACCCAAGGAGAGCTGTGCCGTTCCGTGCAGCGAAGCTCAGCAGTTGCAACGTGGGAAGCAGCTCAAGGAGCAACGCCGAGGGAATCGGAGTCCGCTGACGCGTTCTTTTGGAGCGGCGACGAGAAAGAGAGCGGCCCTGGAAGGAAACGGCCCTGGATGTTATTTGGTTTCGGATGCATAAAAGAATATAAAAGAGAAGTTAATATATGACACATAAGTTGAATCACGCTGGATGTGGATGTAGTTGAAAGCTTCTTCAACCGGCTCAACTTCTCCACCCTGACCCAGGAGGCGAAGCTCTTCGCGGAGCGACTGCAGCGCACGGTGCGGCGGCAACACCGGGCGTTGAAAGCCATGGTGCCCCTGGTGAAGCTGCAAGATGTGGAGCTGGAGAGAAGGGATGGGGCGGGGGTGGAGGTCAAGGAGCAAGTCAGCAGGTCGATGTCGAATGATGTAGGTTCATAGATGGAAGAGATACTCTCCTGGAACCAAAAAATGGACGTGGAAAAAACACCACCTGTTTGGTCATTTGGTCTTCCGAAAATGGTTTTCTTTTCGGGACCATGCCATCCACTTCCAGTTCCTTGGAGGTCTTAGGTCTTTATGAAGCTCACAAGAGCTGCTGGAGAGGGTGCTATGCAGGCAAACCGTGTTGGACTGATTTGGGGTTAACTGGCTGGCTTGATTTGCCAGGCAGTTTGATGCGTTTGGCTTCTCAATTCTTATATCAGAGGGTGCTGACGGAGGTTGGTTGATTTGTGTTGAAAGAAGACGAGGATGTGGGATGGATGTGGGGACCGGACGGTGTTGATGGTGGATGATTTGAGTGGTGCTTTGATTTGGTGTGAGGTCGGGATTGCGATGAATGTTCAGAAACAGGTGGGGAATTTTCAAGAAGGTTGGACATTGGGTCGATTGCATTCCGAGAGCTGATAAAGAAAGATCTATGACGACAAATCACGCCATCGCTAGCCATGGGCTAGCCTTTCTGGAACTCCCGGCAACTCATCCGAGCTGGACCAACTGCTTTGCAACTCTCTTCCGGCCAATTTCACCAATCTCTCAGAGGGCTCACCATCCACATCCCAGAGCTCACCATCCCAGAGCTTCCATCGAAACGCGACCTCTACGAGTAGAGCTCCTCCAGAGCCATGGGCAGGAGAAGACGCTGCAAAAGATCGTGGAGGATGGATGGGACTCAACGGATTGGCCAGATGGCCACTTGGCATTGACTCAGCTGAGCCACAGCCGCGACAGACGACGAGATCCGAGCTGGTCAAACGCCCCGGCCGGTTGGGTCCAACATGGTTCTCCTTCGGTCTGTCCAACGATTGGAAACGTGGTGTCAACCGTGACAGCCTGTCAGCCCAGTGGGTTAATCGGATGACATGTGGGTTAGCCCTTAGAGGCGCAAGATGTTTAGCTCTCCTTCCTCTTTTTCGTCCGTCCGTCCTCACTGCTGGACCAGGTCAAAACCTTCTCCATTTTCTCTGCCAGTGCCTTCGGTGGAACAGTAGAGAGATGCGGCGCAAGCGCCAAGCCGCCGCCAAGCGCTCCGATCGGCGGATGCTAGGAGTGATGCTACGTGCCATCCACGGTTTTCGCTTTGCCTTTGGATCATCGTCCGACCCTTTGTTTGACCAAGTCTGCTTTGCCTTTGGCCGGCCGCTCGGTGACCATGAAATGGACGAATCAGCACTCCCATGTCTTTTTCCCAACCAGCCACCACCTGCTGCCACACCGTGGCATGCCCTGGGGATTGTCACAAGGTACGCACCCCACCAGATGAGACATCCTCAAATGATCCGGGACCAGTGTGGTTTCGGTTGAAGCATCATCCATGTCACAATCCAGCTTCTCCAAACTGTTGAACCGTTTCAACTCGTGTCAAGCTGATGAGTGAATACTTGCTTGACCACGTGACGGCATGTTTTCCAAGATGAGAACCCACCAAACCAGGCTCAGGTCAGCCTATATTATATAGGTCCGCCCTCAGGAAGATGTCCACCGGCGCCTTCAAATCATCATGAAAGATGGTCAATTCACCTCTGCAGGGAAAGGACACAAGGACATTACAGCACCAAAAGAACTCTGGTATTCTTTGATCCTCAAGCAGTTGATCCGACTGGCAGACTTGCCCCCCCAAAACCGGTGCCCCAACCAATTCCGGCTCATTCCGGCTCCTGGACCTTCGTCCTAAGCACTCCTCCTTTCGTCCTCGCTCCATGCACTCCCCAAGGCATGGGGACGCCCAAACGGTGCGCCTGGCGGCCGAGTTGTGTCCCGATTTGGAGGCCGCCGGACCAGTCCTTCAGCTCGGGGGGCCACCATGGCCTTCTAGGTCGGAAGGGGGGAGAGATAAATCCTAGGTCGGAAGGCCATGCCTCCCTTCCTTTTGGAGCTTCACGATTTTTGCTTCCATTTGTGGCTCGGATGGAATGATGGTGGGACTTGCCCAGAGAAACTTTTCAATGATGGTGGGCGGAGAATGCGACATCAGTCTGGCATCAGTCAGCGATCCACCCTAGCACCAGCCACTCACGTCCCTTCCTCTTCAATTCATGTGAACTTGACTCGGCCACCAACACCACCCAGAAGCCACCTCCATCTCCCGCATCCCGCATCCCGCCACCGCCCATCCTCCACCGAAAGAAGCCGCGCAAAAAGAAAGCACGGCGCACCTTATGCACGGCGCCTTATGCACGGTGACGCCGGTGAATTGGGGCGCCTGCCAGGCGCGCGATGGGCAAGACCTCCGCGCCATGGATTATGCCTTGTCCAACTCTGATGCCTCGGAACCTGGGACGGAAGACGGGCCCGACGGGTTTTCTTGGAGCTCGTCTTGCTGGAGGTCGTAAAGACCAGGTTTTCCTGGGTCTTTGGACTTTTTTTTAAATCAAAAATATGGGTGGCACGTTGCAAGTGGCAAGGGGAACTTGTTCAGGTTTGGCGCTTTGGTGAACAGGGGAACTCTTCAATCAGCTTTTTTGGCATGGTTTCCTTCAGCTTCGAGATAGAGTCAGACAGCCCGAAGGTTCGTGAATGACATGTTTGCGCTCTCCAAAAGGGAACCCGCCAATACTCATAAGCATATTGTTTTTTGAGGACATCCCTATGTAAATCTTACATACCACCAGTTAGCCACTTGAGCAGCAAGCTTTCAGGTGTAGCCCCCAAAACGACCGACTTCGCAAAGCGTTTTGCCGTGTTGGATGCGCCGTTTTGGGCATCCACGGACCGTGGACCCACCAACTCAGCCAGGGACAGTGACGGTCCGCACCGGTTGGTTTTCACAGTCAACAACGGTCGGTGAAGGCAACGAGCAGGTGCGGATGGAGATTCTGCCCATGTGGTGCAGAATCCAGGACGAAGAAAGATGGATGTAAGTGGTCCGCCCCCCATCTTTTTCGTGACTACTTCCCCCCCCCAACATAATCACTTCCCCCTTTTTTTGGTGGAGGGTTTGTTTTCTCATGTCGGCAGAGTCGTGAATGAACTGAACACGTGAATAGAACTTATAACCCAGAAACTCCATGTATGGTGTAGATTAGCATAATATAGTATAATCTAATCTCTCTCTATATATAATGTATATTATACACTTATGTCGGGCACGCCAGCCATAGATACAACGAGCCAAAATAGTTTTATAAAGCAAAAACAAAGCAAAACAAAAGCAAAAGGCAAAGCAAACAAAAAGGCAAAAAAATGTAGCTGTGCGTATTTGTCGCTTTTTTTT